CCTTACACCACCCCCCCGCTCCGCCCCGAGCCGGGATGGGCTCGGGATGCGCCCCGGGAGCCCGGGATGAGCCCCGTACCGCCGGGAATATGCCTCCGGGATGGGCTCTGCGTGGCCGGGATGTGCCCTGCACCCCCGGGATGCGCCCCTAGGGTGTGCCCTGCACCCCCGGGATGGGACCCCGGGACGAGCCCCGTTGCCCCAAGGATGCAGCCCCGGGATGTGCCCCGTATCCCTGGGATGTTCCCTCGGGATGCGCCCTGCGCCTCCGGCATGTGCCTTGGGATGCACCCTGGGACGTGCCCCGGTGCCTGTGGGATGAGCCCTGTGTCCCCACGGATCTGCCCTGGGATGCGCCCTGTGCCCCTGGGCTGTGCTCTAGGATGCGCCCCATGCCCTGCTGTGCACTCTGGGGTCACTCTGTCCCCCCCTCAATGCGCTTTGTGCCCCGGGATGTGCCGTGCACCCCCAGATGTGTGTCAGGACGTGCCTGGGCTGCACCATGCACCCCTGGATGCATCCCAGGACGTGCCGCATGCCCCAGCATGCGCGTTGGGATGCTCCCCGGGGTGAGTCTTGGCCCCCCAGGATGTGCCAGGGGCTGTGCCGTGACCTCCAGGATGTCCCCCAAATGCTGTGCCCCCTTGACTGCTCCCCTCTGCCCTCCCAGCTGCCGTCACCAGAGTCTTCCCCCACTGGACGGGGGGTGCATGGGGTGCTGCATCATTGGGATGGGGGCCTGCGGACCCCTGCACCCCCCCTGTCAGCCCCAGGGCTGGCTGGGGCTGCAGGCAGGGAGGGGACAGTCCCCACAGCTCCGCTGCAGAAAGGGAAATGGCTCATCCTGCTGCCGGGACGCTCTGGGGCATCAGCCAGCACCTGGGGCAGGGCCAGCTCACTGCCAGGCTCCAGTGTCCTGCTGCCAGAGGAACGTGGGCAGCGCCAGGAGCCTGCCCAGACGGGCTGTGGGCATTTGCAGCCACCTTGGGACCTTTCCTCAGGAGTCACATCTGCTCTGCATCCCAAGGTACCGCAGAGGCTCAGCTCCCACCGTGGGACCCGGATGACACATGCCAGCGTGACGGTCACCCTGCAGCCAGCGCCAGCCTCAGCGTCACCCCCCTGGTCGGCGAAGGCCAGGGCTGCCCCGGTGTTAATCATTGCCGAGAGCAGCCAGGCCAAGGCGGGCGCGAAAAGCTGTGCCGTTCCCAGGGCTGTTTTCCTTTCATCAGCCGTGTCCCCCAAGCACTGAAACACTGAGAGCAAATATCAGGCAGGGCAAGGTGAGATGGCAGCCCACAGGCTGGGGACCTCGGTGGGCTCCGGAGCACTGAGCGAGGCCGGCAGGATGCTAGCAGGGGGGTGGGCTTGCTCCTGCCACACTTTGGGCTTTCTTGAGTGGGTTTCTTGGCGTCTGTGATCATAACGTTTGAGGGATGGAGGATCTGGGGATTGGTGCTCTCCCATGGAGCAGAGCTCCTGCCGTGGCACCAGCTCTCGCTTTGCCCATGAACCCATCAGCAGCACCCAGCAAGGAGGGTGTCCTGGAGAACCCCAGCTCCACAGCTCCCTGCAGGCAGAGCGGAGAGGAGGGAAGACTGGAAATCTCCCCCGGGGGAAGCGCAGGAGTGCCATTACTTTGCATTGACTTTGGCCAAAGGAGCTGCCAAAGGGCAGGCTGGCATCGCTGGTGTGGGATAGCCACCTGGAGACAGGGCGAGTTGTCCCCATCGTGGCACCGCCTGGCAGCACGGCCATCGCTGTTTTCCTGCCCTGGGCAGGGCGTCGCAGCACAGCCCCAATGCCACGAGTTGGGGTGTGATAGGAGCAGCCACATCAGCTGATAGAGACGCCCGCTATAAAGCGCCCGCCGGCCCCGTGGCGGAGACACAAGCAAGCCCACCATGGCCAACATGCTGTCCCCCTGCCTGCTCCTGGTCCTGCTGCTCCTGACCCCAGCCCTGTCCGCCCCACACGAGCGAGGGCTCATCTTCAACTTGGTAAGAGGGATGCTAACCCGGTTCTTGCCACAGCCTGGGGGATGCCCCAAATGCTGCAATGGGGGGGGGGTCAGAGGGGTCCGCAGTGCTTTGGTCTCTGGCAGCAGCTACGTGGGGGAGTCCCGGGGTGATGGCTGCAGCTGCTGAGGCAAGACTTACTGTGGCTGGGGAAACTGAGGCAGGTGGGGATGGCATGCTGTGTTTTCAGGGGTTGGAGGGATCTCAGAGCCTGGGAAAGCAGCTGTGCAAAGGGACAGGGAAGCCTGAACGTGGATAGGATTGAAGCTCTCAGCTGCCTGTGCCAGTGAGGACCCCCTCCCTGGGGGGCTCGCAGGCAATGGGCAGGGGGGATGCTTTCCCAGCGGTGTCTCAGCCCTATTCCCGTGAGCCCAGCAGAAACCAGCACTTCAGCGGGTGGCATTTTGGGCCAGACCGAGGAAATGCTGCAGGGTGGGAGGCTTGGGGGTGCTGGCAGCAGTGCTGAGCCCCAGCCAAAAGGCAGAGCTGGTGTCTGACACCCACCCAAACCCCCCGGACCCATGCCTGGGGGGGATTAAGGGGGCGACAGAGAAGGACCTGGTGCTCACGCCCTGCCTCATGGTGCAGGACACGGGGGAGCTGTGCCTGCAGAGCGCCCAGTGCAAGAGCGGCTGCTGCCATCGGCACAGCGGCCTGAGCCTGGCCCGATGTGCACCGAAGGCGGCCGAGTTCCAGAAGTGCTCTCCGAAGGTACGTCCTCCCCTTCTCCCGGGGGTGGCCGGGGACAGGGGCATGTCCCCCACACTGCACCATGCCTTGGTTCCCCACAGAGCCTCTATGGGGTCTACTACGAATGTCCCTGCGAGAGCGGCTTGAACTGCGACGTTGATAAGACCATCGTGGGCTCCATCACCAACAGCGACTTCGGTATCTGCAAGGATCCCCAGAGCTCCAACGGGTTGCAGTGAAGGAAAAGAGACCCTCCCTGGTGTCCCCCCCCATGCTGCCCCTGCCACCCTGCTTTTATCCCCCCCCAGGGATGCCCAGACCTGCCCGCGCTGCCCCGGCTGCGGGGGGAGGTTCGAGTAAACAGCATCTTCTGCTGAGCTGCAAGCCAGCGTTTTCACTCGACGTGTCCCTCTGGCCTGGGACAGGAGCAGCAGGGCCAGAAGGTGCCGGAAAAAGCCAGAGGGACATGACGGCTTTAGCTATATGCGCGTGCACATCGTACGCAATTGTATAATAATCTGGGCTGGGCCAGCAGCGACCCATGGGGTGAGCTCTGCTCGGGGGGAGCGTTAGCAAAGGGGGTGCAGGGAAGGGGAAGATGCAGCAGCCCCAGGATCCGAGGGAGCTGTCGGGTTGTGCTCGACTCATTTTATTTGCCACTGCCACTGCTTTGGCTGGAAACGTCCCCTAGAAAAGGTTTGTCACCGAAAAAGAGGGACTTGAAGGTGGTGTCGAAGCTGTGGGTGCTTGGGGTGCTCGGTGGTTGTGTCTGCCTCTGCCATGTCGCACTGCGGGCGCTGGATGACCCTGCACGCCGGGAGCTGCTCCACCTCCTTGGAGCAGGCAGACGTGGCCAGGAGGTGGTCAGCTGGGTGGGCGTCCTCCCCGAAAAGGACCTTGTACAGGCAGCGGTTGTACGCGCCATGGGGGCCATTCGTGCAGCACCTCCACCAGCATCTTTTACAGCAGCTTGTCTGGCTGCGAGATGTGCAGCCAGTTTTGGGAATTTGGGATGGACCTGGGGCAAGGCGATGCTGGGAGCAGCCCCAGCTGGCAGCAAGGCGGCAAATCCCCTTAACTCTGCCCCTGGCAGAGCGGTGCCCTGGGCAGGGTGGGCTGCGGGGGGGTGATGCCCAGCTCAGAGCCAGTGGTTTGGGCATGGGGAGGGGGCACAGATGTGCTGCGGAGGAGTGAGGAAGAGGAGACACCTGCCTGGCAGAGCTGGGGGGGCAGCAGGAGGTGAGGGGGTCACCGGAGGGGGGGTTCTTGACTTCTCCGGTGCCATCTTCACCCCATGTGTTTCTATCCCTGGGGGCAGAAGGAGCACCAGCACCCACAGCGTCGCTCCCCATCGCCCCGAGGCGCCGGGCACCCCATGGCGGCTCTGCACTGGGGGGGACGGGATGGGGGGACGGGGGCTGTACAGGGCAGCTGAGGGTGTCCTGCAGGAAACTTTCTTTCCAGGACAAGGGTGACCAGCAGCTTGAGGATGTGCACCTGCAGGAACACTGGGGACACGGCTGGGAGGGTGGCACGGCCAGGGGAGTCCTCACCGTGGTGGGGGGATACGGGGGGCAGCGTGGGGACAGGGCAGGGGATGCTTCAGGGACCTGCTGGCCCCTGCAAGCCTGGCTCAGTGGAGCTGCAAGAGGGGAAAATGCTGACCTGGATTTTAGTTTGAAACTTGTGGTGGGTGATGAAAGCGTTGAGGGTCTTGGTCTCGTTGTCGTGGTGGTCCCGGCAGGAGGCCACCAGGTCCAGGTCCTCGTGGGTATGGGATGAGGCCTGGAGGAAGGGGGAGATGGGAATGGGGACAGGGACGGGGACAGCAGCCCCTCTCCTGCGGCAGACAGGCACCCCCGGGCAGAGCGAGGGGGGACGTGGGGCAGGTGACATGGGACACGGGGTCTCTCCCTGGCTTCGCCATCTACATGGGGTCCCCAGCCCCACACACCATTCCACACCAGTGGGGAGCACCCTGGAGAGGCTGGCATCACCCAGGACACGTACTGGGGATACTGGGAGCCCTGCCTCTGCCCAGGGCCAGCCTCGTCTGGGGCTTTGCATCCTTGGCATGGGCAGGATGCGGCCAACGTCCAGACTCCGGCAGTGCCAGGACCAGCAGAGGGCAGCCGCAGCGTGCCCGCAGCCTGGGCCGCCCCCAGCCCTGGGGACCCCCCCCCCACCCTGCCAGGGCCCCCCCAACCCCAGGGGCAGCTCAGCGTCGGGGGGGGGGGCCCTGAAATGCACCCAGCCCCATAGACCTGACACCCCCTGAGCCCTGCTTTGGGGTTCACCCCCCTCCCTGGAGGGAGAAGATATTGGGGGGGTGGCCAGCCTGGGCCAATTCCTGGTGTATATGATGGGGATTTTGGGGTGTCCCCATTTTTGGGGTGTCCCTATGTTGGCAGGAGGAGGATGGGGGCACTGGAGAGGTGGGAAGGAGGTGTCTGGGTTGGGGGGGGACACACACCACATGAACAGGCTCCCGCCCCATGTCGGCCCTATATTTACTGGTGAAGCGGCAGCTTTATTTTGGCAGCTCTGGGCTGGTAAATATTGGCTTAAACCGAAAACCAGACGCCTGACTCACGGAGTCTTAACAAACACAGGAAGGGGCCCCCGGCGCGTGTGGGGTGCTGCCAGCCCTGGGGACTGGGGGGGGGCCCTACGCCAGGGTGGGGGCACCCTGAGCTGGGGGGGGCTGTGAACAGGGCATCCTTGGGCAGGTGGATTTTGTTGTAGTGAGGTCCTTGGCTGGGCTGTGGGGGGGACTTAGGGGGATGCCCCCCTCCTGCCGGGGACCCTGGGCGATGGAGGGTGTGCAAGCATTGGGGGTGCCCCTTCCTTCCACCTTGCTTTGCCCAGTGTGTCCCCCCCCTGGCTAAAAAGCAAGGAGAAGTACGAGGCCGAAAGAGCATCGCAGGGGGGGCAACCCAAGCCCCCCCCCCTCAGTCTCACCCCATCACCAGGGTTACACCCCACTTTGCATGGCAGCAGTGCAACCCCATCCCCAGCTGCTGGTGTGACCCTGGTGCCCCCCCCACACCCTATTTGGAGCTTGGGGGGGGGGGCATGGGGACATGCACCCCCCCAGGATTTCACTTCACCCTGGGCAGTGAAGAGGTGCAAGCATTGGGGTGCCCCTTCCCCCCACCCTGCTTTGCAGAGGCCCCCCCCCTTGGTTAAAAAGCAATAAGGAGAAGTATGAAGCTGAAGGGGTGTTGCGGGGGGGGTACCCCACGCCCTCCCCCCCCCGGTGTCACCCCATCACCAGGCTTGCACCCCACTTTGCACCCCCATCCCCTCCTGCTCACCCCTGGGGTGCCCCCAGTGTCCCCCAATACACCGGGGGGGGTGGCCTGGAAGGTTTTCCCGCCCC